TCTGTGTCTCTGTGTCTCTGTGTCTCTGTGTCTCTGTGTCTCTGTGTCTGTGTCTCTGTGTCTCTGTGTGTGTCTCTGTGTGTGTCTGTGTGTATCTCTGTGTGTGTCTGTGTGTGTCTGTGTGTCTCTGTGTGTGTGTCTGTGTGTGTCTGTGTGTGTCTGTGTGTCTCTGTGTCTGTGTGTCTCTGTGTGTCTGTGTGTCTCTGTGTGTCTGTGTGTCTCTGTGTGTGTGTCTGTGTGTGTCTGTGTGTGTCTCTGTGTGTGTGTCTGTGTGTGTCTGTGTGTGTCTGTGTGTCTGTGTGTCTGTGTGTCTCTGTGTGTCTGTGTGTCTCTGTGTGTCTGTGTGTCTCTGTGTGTGTGTCTGTGTGTGTCTGTGTGTGTCTCTGTGTCTCTGTGTCTGTGTGTCTCTGTGTGTCTGTGTGTGTCTGTGTGTCTCTGTGTCTCTGTGTCTGTGTGTGTCTCTGTGTCTGTGTGTCTCTGTGTGTCTCTGTGTGTGTCTGTGTGTCTCTGTGTGTCTCTGTGTGTGTCTGTGTGTCTCTGTGTCTCTGTGTGTGTCAGACTCTAACCTGGGGGCAGCAGAGGTCTGGACCTCCCGTCAGACCCTGCAGGACCTGTACCAGAAGATGCTGGTCTCAGACCTGGAGTACGCTCTGGATAAGAAGGTGGAGCAGGACCTGTAAGCTCCGCCCACTTCCTGTTGTTATTTACAGACTGTGGTAAACAGCTGTGGTCCAGCTGGGTCCTGATGCTGGTCTCGTGGTCCTCCTGCAGGTGGAACCACGCCTTCAAGAACCAGATCACCACGCTGCAGAGCCAGGCCAAGAACCGGGCCAACCCGAACCGGAGCGAGGTCCAGGCCAACCTGTCTCTGTTCCTGGAGGCGGCCAGCGGCTTCTACACCCAGGTACGGCCCGGCCCGGCCCGGCCCGGCCCACCTGGCACCAGCAGGTGTGTAACGGTGTTGTGTGTTGCAGCTGCTGCAGGAGCTCTGCACCGTCTTCAACGTGGACCTGCCCTGCCGGGTCAGCTCGTCCCAGCTGGGCATCATCAGCAGCACGCAGAGCGCAGGGGGCGGAGCCATCGTCACGCCGCAGCCCAGCTCCTGCTCCTACATCTGCCAGCACTGCCTGGTCCACCTGGGAGACATCGGTGAGCCCGCCCTGACCGTTCTGGACTCCTCTGGTCCTGGACCAGGTTCTAACCAGCCTCGTGTTTCTCTCTCAGCTCGCTACCGGAACCAGACCAGCCAGGCGGAGTCGTACTACCGACACGCAGCCCAGCTGGTCCCGTCCAACGGTCCGTCACACGTCCACCGTTCACGTGTGCCTGAGTGTCCTGGACCTGGTTCTGACTGTGGTTCTGGTTCTGGTCTCTGCAGGTCAGCCCTACAACCAGCTGGCCATCCTGGCCTCGTCTAAAGGAGACCACCTGACCACCATCTTCTACTACTGCCGCAGCATCGCCGTCAAGTTCCCCTTCCCTGCTGCCTCCACCAACCTGCAGAAGGCCCTGTCCAAGGCCCTGGACAGGTACCAGAACCAGAACCTGGGTCTGCTGAAACCTGACCAGAACCTGAGCCTGGCTTCAGCTGAGCCTTTAGGAAACAGCTAAAACTGAAGAGAGGAGCAGTTTTAGTTGTGAAACTAAAAAATGAAATGTGTAAAAGATGACTCAGCATTTTCTGATGGTCCTGTGTCTGTCCCTGTCTGTCCCTGTCTGTCCCTGTCTGTCTCTGTCCCCCTGCAGTCGGGACGAGGTGAAGACCAAGTGGAGCGTGTCAGATTTCATCAGGGCCTTCATCAAGTTCCAGGGCCACGTGTACCTGAGTAAGGGTCTGGACAAGCTGGACCCCCTGAGGGAGAAACTGGAGGAGCAGTTTCAGGTAGTGTCTTCAGAGTTCTGGTTCTGGTTCTGGTTCTGGTTCCATGGCTGCAGCAGACTCAGGGTTGTTCTGTGTGTTCAGAGGCTGATTGTGCAGAAAGCCTTCAGCTCTCAGCAGCTGGTCCACATCACTGTCATCAACCTGTTCGGTCTGCACCACCTGAGGGACCTGAGCCCCCCACAGCAGGACTTCAGCACTGACCAGCAGCTCAGCTGGTTCCAGCTGCTGGGCCTCTTCAGTAAGAACCTCACACACCTGGCTTTAAGAGCCACACACACCTGGCTTTAAGAACTACACACACCTGGCTTTAAGAACCACACACACCTGGCTTTAAGAGCCACACACACACCTGGCTTTAAGAACCACACACACCTGGCTTTAAGAACCACACACACCTGGCTTTAAGAGCCACACACACCTGGCTTTAAGAACCACACACACCTGGCTTTAAGAACCACACACAC